AAAAAAAAAAAAAAAAAAAAAAAAAAAAAAAAAAAAACACATCATAGTAAAACCAATACCTTCTCAGCTTCGCATCGAAGCTAAAAATGAATGGTATACGTTGAAACTCGAATAAATACTTAATTGTGATACAACGTCAATTGATTACAACTAAATAAATATAAAAAACCTCAATTTTAATCAAAATTATGGTTTAAATAAGGTCGACAAATTTTCTTAATATCATTATGAAATACAATAAAACATGATTATGAAAAATTATTAGTTTATAATATAATTGAAATCCGCATAATTTCAAATCAAAAAACTACTATAACAAAATATACTTCAGTGTTTATAATTTTGTAATTGTGATAAATAATAGTATTGCACTCACATTGATAATAAATTTGTGATTCCTTCAAAACTGTGATCATGTAAAGATGTCAAATAGTTTCCTTTGAGACTTCTAAATGACAAAATTATTAATTTTACCAATCAAATAAAACATTTTAATTATTTAATTAAAATTTATTATTTATTTATTTTCAAAATAAAATAAACTAAATTAAAAATAGTTAAGTTCTTACAGTTTTGCTATTTCCGAACCATTGAATGCCCAATTTTGTATTTCAAAAATGCTGTTGTACTCCAATAATCTACAAAATCATAGAAATTTATAATATTTGCATTGCTAGTTTCTTAATTAACTAAATTATAAAATATGTTGTCTTAAATGAGCTTAACATTAATAATCATGCATTTTAAATGAACTAATAGTTATATTCCATCTATTTCAATCAGTAATTTTTTTTTTTTATTGCACTCAATAAATAAAATCAAATTAGTTGTACATGTATCAATTTACTTTTACATACATTAAAATGTACCATCTTACTGATTATTCTTGAAGTAAGTTAACATGGTTAATATAGTAATTAGTATAGAATTATTATTATTTTATTATTTGTAAAAAAGCAATTATATTCTATTATAATAACGGAATTAATATATCATACTAAATTTAAACGAATATGACTTTTCTTTTAAAATGTATGCTTAACATTTACGTACTCACAACTGTTCTGCTCTAGTTTTAATTGCATTTGTTGGCAGTGTGAATAACTTGTTCCCTTCGAATTCGCTATTGTAAGTCATATAAATCAGTAAGTCATATAAATTTAAATATTATAAAACTATTTTTTAGAAAATGGTATTAATTTTTTTAACTGTACAATAATGAAAATGTTCAAATATTTATCTTACATGGTGTGCATAGGAGTTAAACTTCCGAGGTGTGATAAATCTGGTATTTTGTTAAGATTAGCTTTCTTTATTCGTCTGTAATAACAACGAAACTCAATAAATCAGATGTTAATATAATTTTTTTTTGTGAAGATCATATAATATTCTTATATTATATACTTAGTGAAGTTTATAATGCACTAGTAATTTTACCTTAAAACTAGTAATACATGTAATTTTTTATACAGTTATACATTTATATATAAAAATATGAAAGATCGAGAAATCTTCTATTTGGAAGTTTAAATGACAGTTAATAAAGTCGTTATTATTTCTTCCAAGAACTTTTAGTTCTTTAGTTTATCACAATTATTCCGGTGGTCGTTGTATAGTATTTTAGGATAATTAAAATTAAATTTACGAATTAACTAAATACAAGACTATTAACAATACTATTATTATTGAAATAGTAACAATATTTGTACATTTAAGTATAATTGATTATTTTTAGTTATTTCACTCTGTATTAACGAAATTATATAACTCATAAAATATTTATGTTTATAACATGTTTTTACTTTTAAAATAAATTAAAAAATTGAAACATTCTTATATGTAATGCTAAGTTTTTCTTTAATAAAGCTATAAAAACTTTCAACAAAAAACTTAATTTATAATATATAAAGAACTCATTGTATATCGCAACTATTTCACCTCTAATATTAAGTCAAGTTTACGATATAGTTAGAAAGTTTTAATCGAATTAAATATTTACGTTTCTAGGAAAGTTTATCATTTAACATTTTATAGGCCTATGAAATTTTTAGTACGTCACTGAACTTACAATACTAAAAATGATTTAGGAATATCATGAAATATATCAGCTGGTAATTCTTTTAACGAAATTGCTTGTGTTATATACCTGCAAATAATAAAAAATAACTGTAAAATAATATGTTTTTATTATAAAATAATTTAATTCATACAATGATTGCAATCCAGTTATATTTTTAAACGCCGAAGAGCCCATGGTCACAAGATTTTTTAAATTGCTCAAAATTCTAAAAAAAAGAGTTGTATATTTGTTGTGTCATTTTACATCTTTAAAATATTTTCTAATTACTTAAAAAATACTTTTTCAAATTAAAACTAAAAATAATAGAACTTACATATCTGTAATATTTTGTCTGTATAAGGATATCGAGTCTCCAGTAAACTCTCTTATATTAGATTCTTCTAGTGTTCTAAGTAAATTATGAGTAAAGAATAATTAAAATAAATTTAGAACAATTAATTATTATTTATAATCATTAAACATTTCTACATAATTTAAAATTTTATATCCTTTATTAAAAAGATAATGGTTTATTCTTGTTTCATTGTCTAAACTCGTCTACATATTAAACAAAGTTTATGTAATAAGAATAAATAATTAATTAAACGAATATAAAAAAAGTAATAAGTAGTGCTATTTAGTTTACTACTGTATTTTGGTTATGAAAATTTCAATTATAAAATAGAAATAGGTATTATATTTGATTTATGAGTATTAACTTTGACGCAAAGCGTATATAATATCTGTTTAATACACAAATATTCAGTTTCTCTGATCAGCTATTTTAATAAAACGTGACTCACGCCTGATTAGATGACCCCCACTCTTTAGCTAAAATACAGAGTCTATCTACTAATTGCGGCCGATCACTTAGCACCGTCGTTAAACGTTCTCTCAGGACTTAAAACGTCTCACGTGCACTTACGGGCTTTAATACACAGTTTTTGTCCAACTTTTCTCTATAGTCTTTTCGACTACTTTTAATTTAACCAGTTAAAAATTAACTTGGTTTCTTTTTGTTTTATATAATGAGATTATCAACAAACAATATATTTATAGTGTTACTATTTTACTGTTTGAGTAGTATTTAAATATAACTTTTGAATCAGTTAGTGCCGTCTGAATACACGTTGAACTTTATTTTAATTGTTTGTATAATTTTATATTAACGATTCATAGATATTAGGACTTCTATGTGTCAAGCTTTAATAATTTTACTGTGGTATTTTTTGTCTATTGCAACTATTACTCAGGTTTTATAGGGTTACAATTGTCAATCAATAGATGAAAAAAGTCCGATTCATATTTAGTTGAAGCCGATACCTTCAAAAATTGAAAAATATTATTTTTATTTTTTAGCAATTATAAAATGAAAACTTCTTTCTTGAAAAAATAGATTAATACGGTTTTTTTATTAGTAATATTATATACTGAAAAAATGAACAGTTAATATATAGTGACATCTCTAATAAATACAGTTGGAATAACTAAATAAATGGTTGGATTAACCGAATATTCAGTTATTTCAACTGTTTTATTTGCAGTTGTCATATATATATATATATATATATATATATATCTCAACTATTTATAAGGTTATTCTAACCATATTTTTTTCCGTATAGAAAACTATATTTCTATCAATATACTCATTTTGAAAATCCAATAAAAAAATTAAGACTAGGTTTAATCAAGTGAAAATGTATAAGTTAAACATTTTAACCTAATGGATATTTTTAGAATTTATGTTAACTTAAGTTTTCTACTGCAAATAAATAACGTATATTTTTAATATCTTTCATAATAATCTGATTTTTCAATAAAACTCCGATGACGATAAAACAATTTTTTTTTATGAATGTCTTAAAGCTTTCATGGATTGTCTTGTTGCTTGAAGTGCTTGAGGGTATATCCATGTTTGCAGTTGAGTTCTGACGTTTCGTTAGTAACGCCAGTATAGTTGCAGCCACCGCCGACTAGCAACCATCACTCTGAAGATGGACTCTGCAATGAGTCCGAAATGTCAATTAATTTACTTTTTTTGTGTCTGTCATTCACTAAATTCTCACTGTCAACTTTTTTAAATAATACGTCAAATGATCACAACTAGTGTCTAGTTAAAGATATTACCCTCCTTGCTTTTGGAATAATGCAACAACTTCTTAAAATTATACACTATCTAGAGATTTGCAACGAAGCGTTTCTTATGATGGTGATTTTAATCACTGTCAAATATCATATATAGTTGTACCGAACTATGCCACAACCCCATTGTGCTACCGTTTTTTTTATTTAAACCACATAAGTGGGTATGAAGATATAACTTTTTTATGAAATTCTGAATTTAGCTTGATTTTTATCATCTAATTTACTTTAAAAAGTTATGATATTTAAACTAATAAAAATTTTAATTTAAAAAGTTAATTAGAGAAACAATTCACTAGTTAATGTCCACCTTTGCTATAATCTATATCGAAATATAAGATATTTGTCGCCAATTCGTGTCACCATAAAAATAGACTTATTTTAGATACTACATAAATTTTGAATTCAGTTTATTAAATTTATTAAAGAGTTAAAGTAATTATAACAGTTTAATTTACTTTAAAATTTCAAAAACATATTAATCACGTTTTAAAGTTAAATCACGCCTTTATTTGAAGTTTCTTTTAAAGATGCTATTAATTATTTTATAATTTTTTAACAATAAGTTGTCAGACTAATAGCAACACATACTAATTTACATTTATTAATACCTGAAGATTTTAGGTAATAAAGTTATGTATTCTATTCGTTTAATAACAATGAATATTTACTCACAATATATTAATAGATTGATCATAGACAACTGGTATATTATCGACACCTAAACAGTACAATTCGATTTTATGCGGCCACGCACCTGTTGAATTACGCAAACAACATCGGTCTGCCATGCACATGGTGTACCTTCCTTCAACTGACAATAAGCAAATGCCCCACAACACTAAATATACGATTATCGCCATAAAGGCTCACCTGAAAACATTTTATTATTAACTACATTAATTAGTAATATTACATATATATAATTAATTTATAGAACTAATATAGTACATTAAGGCTGAAAAATTAAAGTGGCTTGTTTGTTTAAGCTAGTAATGTTTTATAATCCCTAATATCAACAATTTTTGTTTCATAGCAGGGTTAAAAACGTTTGATTTGTTTGCCGTTTCGGTTTCAGAAACTGATGTTTCGGTTAAAAAACCCGTAAAATATCGGTTTTAATTGGTTTTCAGAAAGTCTTTGCTTCATAGATCAACATTTCAATAGTATTTTAATTTAGTAATTATCAAAAGAAAAGATAAGTACGATTAATGTATTATTTGCGGCAAGAAATGCGATATCAAAATGTACTACAAAAAAATAGTCTTTGTCAATTTTTATCAAAAATATAGGTTAAACAATCAATGGGAAGACAGTTTAGTCTTTTAAATCTAAATAATATAATATTAATAAATTTTAACTATTATATTAAAATTCTTAAATCTAATATATTTATGAATAGTGACTCTATTCACGAGTAAAATAACTTGAATAAAACATTGTTATAAATGTACAGAACACATTTTAAAATTCAAAAAATATTTATTTAATGCACAAACAAAAGTTATAATGATTGATGTATAGTGTTAGTTTAAGTAATATTATTAAAGTTTCTTTTAGTATGTAAACGAACTGCATTTAGAATAAATAAAAGAAAAATCATACTCAAAATTATTTATTATTATTCATACTAGCTGTCAAACTAAATTTAACACACATGCTCTATAGATTTGATTTTTACTTTCTTGGCTTCGATTCATGTTTTACATTAAATAAACAGTTCTATAAATGGGTTTGTCACCGAAGTGAACCATAATGGCTGATAAAAACTGTGTGAAATTCTGGTGATAATTTTAATATTAAGCAAATTTATAAAATACTACATACAATTAAATTTATAGAATATGTGTTTTTTTAATTGTTATAAATAAAAATAAGATCTTGAGTAATTTTTAAATATAAAAAAAAATATGTATACAAATATATATATAAATATTTATTCATGGAAATTTTTTTATTATAAACCACTTAATGGAATAATAAAAATAACATTGATTATTTCTTAATTAGTTTTTTTTAGATGTGTATGTTCATTATATCTTATAAGTGTATCAACTTTATTTATTCAAATGACAACATACTTAACTAGCATATATAATATATTATTTCTTCAAAATTTCAAAACAACTTATTTTTATAGATTTTTTTACAACAATTTTAATTAACAAATTTAGGATGAGTAATTTTTGAGTTAGAAGCATTGACAGATATACACCATTATAGATTTTAGTGGTGTATAACTCCATCCACTTTACATACCCACTCTATTTATTAAAATGCTTTCAATCCTATAATTCTAAGTCATTATAAAACTTTTATTGACCCATTAATCATTTTCGCAAGAAAGTAATTCAATATTGGATATTTTGATCATTTAAATTAAAAAAAAAATTATTTTTTCTATAAATATTTTATATATTTACTATATATATGTTTAATATTATTTATTTTACTACAAAAACAAATAACAAAAACGTATAATTTTACAATATTAAATGATGATGATTGTATGTATTAAAAGTTATAGAAGTTGTCATTTAAAACTATTCCAGACTGTATATATATATATATAAATATTATTGTTTTATAATGTCCAGTTTATTGCATAATTAATTGCAATTAAGCTTTAAGATTTATTTCGTGTATATTTTATTCCGTATTTTAAATTACTTGTTATATTAAATAAAATAAACTTCCTTGGTGATTTAAAATCCATTAAAGATTTTCTTAATTTTTTTCACTTTATATAAACTTACTTAAATTTACGATTTAAATTATTGAATGAAATTAAATAATGTATCTTTTGTCCTAAAAAAACAAATTTTGCAAAATTAAAATATTTGTTTTTCCTTATTTCTTATTATTACTTCTAATTTTTTTAAGGTAAAAATTAAATATAACTGTAAAAACATTTTCACACGTATTTTTCAAACTAAGTAATGTCTTTGAAATAAATTACCACAATTTAATATATCCTATTGAATTTTGTTAATTGTCCAATTCTTAACAATTATTTTTTCTCAAATTTATTTGAAAAATTGTATAGATAAAAAACTTAAAACATTGCTTTGGCCGATAATTTAATACCAAAATACACAATTTGCTTGTAAACCGTACACCCATAGATAATATCAGGGATTTTATATTTTATCAAATATTAAAACGAAATCCATTAATTTTTCTTCAATTTTATTGGGGCAACTATTGACTTTTCAAATAATTTGATCAATTGAAATTCTGTTGGCTCTAAAAACTTAAAACTACTTTTTTACTGTGTTAACTGTTCTCTACAATTAGTATTTTTAAAATAATTTATGATCATATTTTGTAAATTTATTATTCATTTGATAGTCTTAAGAATTTGATGAAAATAAAACTTCTTGTTGTATGCCAGAAAAAATCTGTTTATTGATAGAATGTACACAAATATCAACATTTTAATAAACTTCAAATATGTTAACTATAGTTTTTTTTAACCGAGTAAAAAAAATTCCTTGCGTCTATTTAAAAGCAACAAATTGATAATTAGAGTAATGAAAAAATCCATTATAAAATAACTGTAGAAAAATTCATATTTAATATTGGTCAATAGTATTAAATTATATTCTTTATACCTAAACATTTAGTATTCATTAATTGTTAAAACTCGCAACAATTGCATTTTACTAATAAATATTAAATACTAATTCACTGTAAAAATATGTTATCTATACAAGCTGAAATTTTTTTGAAGTTTTTCCAAAATTGAAAAATTGTATTTTATAACAGCATACCAACTCATATACAATTACTCATATATTTGCTTATTCTTTTAAATTTCAATCATAATTTTTTGTTAAAATATAATCTTAGTCTTCGTTTGATTTAATTTTAAAATATTTTTACTTTAAAGTGAAAATTTTGACTATTAATTAACAATTATTGTAAAAATAATTGTTATCTGACTTTTGTAATTGTATCAAAATTAAAAAAATAACTTGGCAATAAAGGTTAGTTTAAAATTAATAACGTCATTATATAAAATGTGTGATGTAAATACCTACTTTTTTCTAAAAATTAATCAAATTTATATTTTAGCATAACTTTTTGTTTTATATTAAGAATGCACGTGTATTTATTATTTAAATGGATGGTTATTTTAACACGCAACAAAATGCTTAAATTCGCTTCATTTACTTGAATTAAAACATTATTGAAACTGATATACGGAAGTATGAAATAGGTATATTAGAGGACAGGGGACAATAAATAATATTTAATACGTTTTAGTCAAATAATTATAAATAATTGCTTGATAGTCAGAATATTCTAAATTATAGGGGTAATAAACTATTCTTAGAATGTTAAATATAAATTTATTATTTTGTATAGTTAATTTTCTCTAGCATTTACATTTATATTTACATCAAGTATTACTATAAGATTATGAGGTTTATAATAATTAATAATTAATTATTAATTTACATTTTATAAATTTTCCATGATTAATAGTAAACATTTGACAATTTTATAGATAACTGTAGAATACAAATATTTCATAACCTCATATTTGAAATTTTTATAATTACTGATATTCATATAATTATCAGAACAAGAAAACGTTATAATTATAACATTTATAACGAAAAAAAATTCAATACCTATTCAAAAAACGGAAAACAAAAAATAAAAAACATGTGATATTATTAACGTAAAATATCGTTAAATATAATACTACTTATAACGAAAAACAATTTTAAAACAAAAATGATAAAAAGTATAAATGTTGAATAACGTTAAACTTAACTATAAGATATTTGTGAATAATTATAAAATTACACTTCATCACATCTCATTTATAAATAATGTTTTAGAATATGAAATGGTTGTGTATAATTTTATTGTATAAAATATAGGATATATTTTAAGATATATATTTTTTTCTTATTGATAACCGAAGTATAAAATGAGTTTTGCTTTAAAATGTTTAAATATATAAAAGATCAATTTCTTAAAAATATTTTGTTATTATAATTTATTAATCTTATTATTTTATGTATAACAATATTTTAGTGTAACTCATAACAATAATCTATTTATTACGTAAGACCTTGTAAAATAACATTCGTTTGTAAATTATACTTTTTACGTTTGTATAGGTGATTTAGCAAATAATAAGATAAAAATTCGAATGTATGACGTTCAGAGTAAAATATTTTCATGCTCTTAGTATTATTAGTATTAAATTAGTGAAGTATTTAAATACTTATTTAATATTAATTAATATCTATAAATTATTATTTGATTGAGTAGGTTAGGTTGTGTATATACATTATTATACATTTCAGTGGTTCTCAAGATTTTAAGTTTTTATTAAAATTTCTTAATTATTTTAAATTTGAAATTATAAAAAATAATATTATTTATGTTATTATGAATAATATTTTCCCTTATTTAAAAATCATAAATATTGAAATAAAAATTAAAAATACAGGTCTTATAATTATACATTATTTGAATTAATTCATTTCACCCTATTTTTTGTTGTCATTAATATTAAGTAGTGATACATTTTATAAAGTCATTCTAATGAGTTTAAAATTGTCTAAATATTCAAGTATTAATCTTTAAAATGGTTCATTCTATGTTCTTTTAAATATTATTCAACGTTGTTAAAATGAACAATTAACAGTAATTATTTTTTTTTTAATTTTAATTTATACTATAAAAATGCCAAATTATTAACATTATTTCTAAGAGATTATTTATGATTACAATTCTATATTTCTTAATTATTACTGTAAAATTATGATTTATAATTCTATTATAAAATATTAAATATTTTGTGAAAAATTTATTCCGAACTTAATGAGATTGATGAAAAGTAGGTACCT